TGTGTGTGTGTGTGTGTGTGTGTGTGTGTGTGTGTGAGAGAGAGAGAGAGAGAGAGAGAGAGAGAGAGAGAGAGAGAGAGAGATAGAGAGAGAGAGACTTGTGGGGAAGAAGACAGGATAACAGAGAGAAAAAAAGAGGAGGGGAAAGAGTGGTTGGTATACAATGTGTACATAGGTAAAGTAGCCTAACTTAAAATATGTGTTGAATTAGAATAAACAATAGTAGTAGTATCATGTCACTATATGAATGAATATATATGCATATATATGTGTGTGTGTGTGTTTCTCCATTTGTATATGAAGTTTATTCAATCATTTAATTACTTTTGTGGGCTAAGATATATCCCCTCAAAGAGAGTAGGTTGAATATCTCTAAGTACCAGTGCAGTGAAATCAGCCTCAGTGTGAAACAGTATTACGTGGAGGTAATCAATTTAAGGACGTTCGTACGTTCGTAGAATGGGTTTTGGCCTGACACAACTGATAGCCTATTTAAAAAGAGGGATTTCACATGGAGAAAGACTAGAGGGGCTAGAATGTGACAACATGGGGGAAATGGACCCTGTGACTGCAGCCATGCATCTGGAAGGAATAGAGCTCTGAGAGGGATGGCAGATGCCTGAAGCTAGAAGAAGCAAGGGAGAGTTCTCCTCTAGAGCCATCAGAAAGAACGTGGTCCTGCCAGCTCCTTATCTTAGATTTCCAGCCGCCAGAATTGAGACAACAGACTTCTGTCATTTGAAGCCCTCCAGTTTGGGGTATCTTGTCATGGTGGCCACAGGAACCTACTAGGGTCATTAGTGATGATGTCCACTGGGTTTCGGGCTCTGTACCCAGCTGGAGAAAGAATAAGGTGTAGAATTTACAGTCAAACACTAGGGACAGAGATACAACCAATTGTATGAGTTGATGTTCATGGTCGTGGTACATACAGTGAGAAGAAGACCCTTGTCAAGGAGAACTTGAGGTTTTCCCCTCACCTGGGCATTGAGAAAGTTTTCCATGGGGTGAGAGGCTGGGACCCTGAGGTCTCTGGAGTTGAGGGTGAGATTTGGTGATAGGAGTGAGCATGATAGGGAGAGCAAACTATTTATAAAGTCGTGTATAAAGGGATAAAAAGACACGGGGGGGGGGTGAAGAGAGGTAGAGAGGAGAGCCAGGGAAGTGATTTTGTTGGTAATTATCAGTGTTCAGAATGAGGGTTTGAATTCCATGCCATCTCTGTCATTCAGCCACTCACCCAACCTGAGCACTGACCCTAAACAAGGTCTGCTGTGAAGAAGCAGTCTTGACTAGAAATCACCAGCATGGCGATGTGTCCTGCTCAGCTGAGAGCCATCAGTACCCACCCCACTGAGCCTATGGTAGAGAGGTGTGCCAGCTGGGAAGATTAATGCTTGCTTGGAGCTCAGCCTCCGTCAACACAGATTCAAGGGTCTTGGAAAGGTCTCCGTAGTTATGGTCAAATGGTCTGTAACCACGGCTTATGGCTGTAAACGTCTCTTTTCAATTTCTTAGATTTCAGGACTTTGAGCTCTGCTTCAGTGAAGAAGTATCCTGTGACAATGGGAAAGGAAGTGATTGATTGTCCCCATCTCCTAAGACACAGAGCGGTGGAGCACCAGGGCTACTTGCCTGGGTTCAGGATTGTGCTTGCCCTGGAGCACACAGCCCATCTCTTTCAGTCTCACCCTGACCTTCAACTCAGATTTTTTTCCTGTTGAAATAATAGGTGTGCCTCAAACTAAAGCTTTTGTGAGAATAAAACAACAACAACAAACAAACATAAAAAAACTCTTCTTATAATACCTGGACCTTAGTAAACATTCAGTTGATACACAATATTATTGTCACTATCCTTCCTCCCATTAATTAAACTTTGCAACAATATGGACAGACTTTTAGACTTTCAGGTGCCTAAGTACATTCACACATTCTTTGTAATCAAGTCTAAGTATGGGTAAGTGATTAGTGGCAGTGATGTTAATTAACTCTCCACAGTAAAAAAAGGGACCGGAGAGAGCCCTGCACTTAAACAGCTGATTGCGATGAAACCACTCTGTTCTGCAAAGGCGCTCGATGGGAGCCCTCTGCTTTCCACTCAGAGCAAACAGAAGTTAGCACGAAGATCACCACTCCCCTCCTTTTTAATTAGAAAGCACTAAGAAGATGAAAACGCATAATAAGGCTCTGCAGTAGTTAAGTGTAATTCAAGTAATGTGTGTCTGGGGACCCTCTCGATCACGGCGCCGGCACGCAGAGCCATTCAGTTAGGAGCTGGCTCCTCAGGGCAGGGCAGACCTGAGCTTGCTTCTTTGTCAGCTCTGTCAGATGCCAGCTGTGGGACGTTTCCAGGGGCACTCTACCTTTCCCGGGCCTCAGTTTCCTCACTGATACTGTGGTAGTGAAACGGATGTCTTAATGTAGTTTGGAGAGAAAAATAGAACAATATGACGAACAATGATACCCATTACCTTGTGTTCGGTACTTAGAGCAGGCACACGGGAGGGGCTCTTCAGAGTATCATTTGTGGGGGATTGGGGAATCAAGCATCCAGGAAAAAGAGGTTGTTATGGTAACTGGAGTAAACCACACACATGAAGACATACCATGTGCTTTCTCTCAGAAGCATGTGACCAGCACAAATTGCGGAATAGATGGGTTAATAAACAGAAAAAGGACACAAAGTTGGGGGGGGGTAGGGAGTTAGGAAGGTTCTAGGAGAGTTGGGAGAACAGGGGTGAATGTGGTCAAAGTACATGGTATGAAAATGTCCAAGACTGAATACTGTATTTTATTTAATTAAGATATAATCACAGGCAGGACTGGGGTAGACTGCCCGGGGCTCCAAAGAGGAAGCAGGCTCTTTCCCAGCATTCTGATGGACTGAGCCGGACAAGAAGACCCACATGCATGCCCGGGCAGTCTATCCCAGGGTCTGAGGAGAAAAAACAGACCCACCTGTGCCTTGTGGTGCCTGGCAGATGGGCACTATCATAGTGAGCAAATATTACGGTGTGGTATGGGAGAGAGAGACCAAATGGTCCATGTCCTGTGTAGAGAGTCATATCTGAAGAGGTGAAAGTGCTGAGGAGTGGGCTGAAGAGGGTGGCTTGATTGCCACTCAGGACCACGGTGATGTCTGGGCCTGGGCTCTTGCCAGGGCCCATGTCTGTGCTCATGGCCCTGTTGTAGCCATGGTCTGTGTTGATGCCTGTGGCTCCTGATACCACCCAACAGACAGAGAATAGGGGTGCCCAGAGTTGGCCCCGCCCTTCACTGGCTGCAAC